AAAAAGAAAAAGGAAAGGCAGAATGTCAATCTGCAAAGATAACAGAATGGAACATGCATGTATTGGAACAGTTGCAACCTCATTGATACATAACAAAGAAGAAAAACCACTTTTGATTTCCTTACACTGATGAAACCTGATAAGTAACCACATGTTGAACTTCCACATACTGCAGCACGCTGTACAGAAACTACTGGAAAACAAGACCCAGATCTGAACCTACAGTTTTTATTTACTCTCAATACTACTGATCTATGAAGAACAGTTTCATTTTTTTAATAGGAACAAATTTATGCAAAAGTGCAACTCATCATGCACATGGCTGCTGAATTGAATGCCCAGGACAGAGACTGAATAGAAAACCTCTTTTCAAGAACAGTAACAAAACAGAAAGGGAGAGTTCTTTATATAAATTTGCAGACATAATCTTAGAATCCATCAAACTGAGTCACTTGTTAGTAATATTTTTATCTGGATACTTTCTCAGGAAGAAGTTGTTCTTGGTATTTTCCCATAGTGTTCATTCTTTCAGGGTATGAAGCATGGAAGTCTTACCTGGGCTGTGTTCTATCCAATGTTTGTTGAATGTGAAGGCTAATCTTTCTTGGATGAAATCTGCATTCTTATAATATATGCCTTAGAAAGTAAGTAGTCATGCTTAAAGAACAGACACAACTTTAGCAAGATCTGCCTTCATTTTTAATTAGAAAACCTTCATAGAAATATGTTATTACATTTATTTTGTTCTTAAGAATCCACTGTCATTTCTGCTGGATATGATTTTTTTCTTTTGTACACTATTTTCATCAAAAAATACTGGATATTGTAACACATGAGGTAAAGTACACACAGAAATACTGCTAGCTAATATATCAATTTCTTAAATAAATAACTTGGATTTAAACTTACCAGAAAATTGTGACTGAGAAGCCACAAGGTTGCCCAGTGTGATGATCACTGAACAGGCTTGAAAGATGAGTCTCATGGCTGGAGTGACACAACAGACTATGAAGAGATGAGTAATTGTAATTTCTGGATTTACTGTTTGATCACTTTACACCAGAGGCTGGAGGGAACTGGAGGAAATGACTACAGGAAATAAAAAATTCACAGATACCTAACTACAGATAAATCAGAAGTGCAGGACCTTCTTTACACTATATAACAAAACAAAATAAATAAACTCTACAAAAAGTTAATTCCTCAGAATATGAGTATTAATCTTGTTAGCTTTATCTTCTCAAAGCTGTATCAATCAGAGGTGACTGCAGACCTGATCCAAACAAGGACCAGGTTGCTGTGCATAGGTTTGACCACATAAAATCACAGAATGCTTTTAAATGGTTGGAAGGAACCACAGTGGGGCATCTGGTCCAACCTCCCTGCTCAAGGAGGGCCATTCTAGAGCACATGGCACAGGATTCCACCCAGAGGGTTCTTGAACATCTCCAGTGAGGAAAACTCCACAACCTCTCTGAGCAATCTGTTCCAGTTCTCAGTCACCTGCACAGTAAATATGTTCTTCCTCATATTCAGGTGGAGCTTACGGTGCATCAGTTTCTGACTGTTCTCCCTTGTCCTATTGCTTGTCACCACTAAGAAGAGCCTGTCACCATCTTCTTGACACCCTCCCTTCAGATACTTATGGACATTGATGAGGTCCTCTCTCAGCTGCCTCTTCTTGAGACTGAATAAGAGCAACTCTCTCAACTTTTCCTCAAACAAGAGATGCTCCAGTCCCTTAATCACTTTTGTCACCCTCCACTGCACCTGCCCAGGAGCTCCGTGTTTCTCTTCTATTGAGGAGCCCAGAACTGGACACAGCACTCTAGATGGGCCTCAATAGGGCTGAGGATAGTGGTGGGATCACCTCACTTGACCTGTTGGCCATATTCATCCTGATGCACCCCAGAATACCATTAGCCTTGGCTCCAAGGGCACACTGTTGGCTCATGGACAGCCGGTTGTCCAGCAGGACCCCCATATCCTTCACCACAGGGCTGTTTTCCAGCAGGTAGGCCCCTGTCCTGTACAGGTACCCAGAATTACTCACCTTCCCAGGTGCAGGGCATGGTATTTGCCTTTGCTGAGTTTCAGGAAGTTCTCTCTCCATCTCTCCAGGGTCCTTCTGAAGGGCTGCACAACCCTCTAAGGTATCAGCCACTCCTTCCAGGTTTGTGTCATCAGTGAACTTGCTGAGGAGGCATCTGCCCCTTCATCCAAGCCACTGATGAATAAGTTAAACAGTACTGGGCCCAATATTGAACCTCGGGGGACACCACTAATGACAGGTCTCCAACTAGATCCTATGGCACTGATTATAATGCTCTGAGATCTGCTTTTCAGCCAGTTCTCAGTTCCATTTCTTTTTCCCAGCAGGTATCAAGCTTTTTCTGTGCTTGCATCAGAAAAAGCACAGCAACCTTCTCATGAAGGGGAAGTCTTGGGCAGAACAGCTCAGTCAAGCTACATGCAAAGTGCCCTGGTCACACACATCATACTGCCTGCCAGAGACCCCTGGACTACATTTTGCTTCCAATGTCTCAGTGAGGGAGAGTAGAAGCTTTGTCTGCAACACATAGTACTCGGTAGGAAGCTGGATCATGGCTGGGAATATACCCAAATTTGCTGCCAGAATTTCTTTTTAGACTTGTTTTCATTCCTCTCAGAGCTTTTCCTAAAATGTTGACTGTCCTTTTTACCTAGCAGTACTGTTTGTCAGATGAGACCCTTTTCAGCTTTTCACATACTCAAAGTCTCTGGCTAGGTAACGTGATATCAGTTTTGTATCTGGCTATTTATTTTTCTTTGGTTGGCTACTTTCACTCTCTTATCCATTGCATGTCCCAGGAAGACCCACTCAAATCTCAGTGATTCTTGGAAACCCCAGCGCGACTGTCTGACACACATACAGTGTTCTGTTAACTGTCTAGCCCCTGCTTTGATCAAGTTCCTCCAGGGAGGCATTAATTCCTGGAACTAGAATAACAAGCAACACGAGTGAAATACTAAACTAGGTCATAGGTGATAGATAATGGATAATGGAAAGCTGAAGTTGCTCACAGTTTCCACAGTCAGCATCACAAAAGCCAGTGAGACAAACAAACAAAGGCAAAGATCCCAAATCCTTTGGTTCCCCAGGACATGGCAAATCCCCTATGTCCCTGTTTAGGTTAAAAATATATTTTCCTTCCAAAAAATGTGTCTCACCTTTTCTTACAGAGTATGTGAGTGTGGTGGAGCTGAATTTGTCCCTGTTTGCTTTTCATACAGGTAAAACACCCTGGATTGCAGACTTTCTAAAGCAGTTTATTCTTTGGAGGAAAGGGGTATGGGAAGATAATATAAAAAAAGAAAAGATATCTAAAATACCCTCTGGATTATAATTACTCTGATTTTGAGACACTTCATCTAAAACAAGGTCTAATTCTCAAGTGACAACAGTGCATTTTCACTCACCATTTCCTTCTACCATACTGGAAGGCTTTTGGAATTACAAGTAATCATACCTCCCACCAGTCTCAACTTCTTTTTCAGATACTGAGGGCCTCTTGAAGTCAAACAAAATTTCTCTTTTTTATGACTTCTGAATCCAAACCTAGGCCTCAAGTCTTGGGGAATACAAAAAGAAGCAACAGCTGGGTTAAACAAACTACTTGCATAAAGCTGAGGCACTGTCAAACTATTTTTGGTACTGCTGAGAGAAGCATTAGATTTGGCACTTGAAGGACAGAGGACCTAGGCACTTCCCACCTTCCCCCTTGCAGGCGGACACTAGTCCAGTCACCTGCCTCAGGTTCTGCTTACTGAAAGCCATCCCTAATTACCTGGTTTGATTTTTTTCATGAGCCCAGTCCGAGCACTGGAAAGTTGCCTGTGAGCCACGGGATCTGTTCTTCCCAAGGATTTTTTTCTGCCTGCCTGCCTGCCTGCAGGAGTGTGGTTGATTAACTTGCCCGTATCCTGTTGGTCATTGCTCCCAAGAGGACAAGGACAGAGCACTGTCACAATGTGTCCCCTCTTCAGGGCTCATACACAGTGCAATTTGGCCTGAGCAAATAAGATCCATCCTAACAGTGCAACTTCATGCAGGAACAGGGAAAGCAAAGGATGAGGGTGAGCTGAAAATCAGCACCCAGGGTTTCTGATGATGACTACCAGTAGAGAAAATTCTTAGCAAGACACACAGATGATGAGGACAATGCAAGTAACGCAGGTGAATTAAAGGAAGCCCTTTTGACTTCATTTTGCATCAAAACCGCACAAACAGCTCTTGGCCCTCTGCCAGCTCCTCCACCCATAACAGCAGCTCTTTGGTGGTTGCACTTACCAGCTGCAATCTCCAGCACCCTCACTGACTTTCCTCAGCTTCCTTCCTCTTTTTTATTTCCCTTTCTATTATTTCATTGGTGGTGTTAAATGGGTCTTTGATCACAGCATAGTTCAGCAAAGCAAATTTTCTCAGTTTACTTTTTCCTTCACTTAGAACAAAAACAATTAATAGCCAGTGAATAACTTTCATTTAATGTTGCTTACTTATTCATGGCCTTGGTAACAGATTCCACATAAAGCCCCATCAAATAACAGGGATTACCTCTTTTTTTTTTTTTTTTTTTTGCAGTGATGATCCCTTGTAATTTTTAGCCTTGACAGGAGCAATATCAGTGTGCTTTGAATGAGTGGAATAAAGGGAAGAGTGACCCGTTTATCTAAAATAGTGAGTCTCATCACCCCATGACAAATCAGTTTAGTCAACTTGACACAGTGCAGCCCATTGTTTTGACAGAAGACCCTGAATCTGTTTTAATTAGCTACAAAGTGCATATGTAAAGATCTCTGCTGTACACTCTGGACCCTTCTTCTACCCATGGGAAAAGCTATGGGGAGTAATTCTCAAGCATCCCTGTCATTCCTAAATTCACACTCTTGTTCAAACACTTCAGAAAGTGTCACTTGCTGGTCTTTCCTTTTATCATCATGACTTGGCCTTTCCTAGAATTTTTTAAGAATTACAGGAAAGCAATGAAGGGGAAAAAACAAGCAAAGATGGCAAGTGGCCTGCATGGATGGGCAAGGAGTTCCTATCAGAAATCAGACATGAAAAGGAAGAACGCAGGAGGTGGCATCTGGTTGACCTTGCAGGGACAGGTTTAGGAAAATCAAGGCCAACATGGAGTTGAATCTGTTAAGGGACGTGAAAGGCAATAAGAAAGGATCCACAAGTACCTAAAATAGTAAAAGGAAAACTAAGGAAGACATGGACTCGCTGCTGAATGAGGCAGGGAGCTTGATGACGGAAAAGACGCAGAAAATGCACCTTCTATACTTCAGTCTTTACTAACAAGACCAAACTAGGCTTTGACACCAGCAGAAAAGTCTGGAGCCAAGAACACTCAGCCTTTACAGATAAAGACCAGGTTAGTGAGCACTTTCTTGAACAACATATCCCTTAAGATTATGTAAGATTAGGAACCTCAAGATTTAATGATATACAATAATAATCAATAAAATACATAATTACATTACTACAGTCCTGTAGTAAGGACAGATTAGAGGGTAAAAATAACTTCTGTGACTTTCAGTTACTCTCCTTTGAAGAAGTCTGCTGCTTCCATCTCCCGTATTTTGACCTATTTTTGAAATTTCCAATACTTTGGCACATTTCTTTGCAGAATACCCAACACAGTCTTGTTCTTTTGTGGTAAAAGGTGGAACTCCTGTCATCCAGGAACAATCTTGCACTGTAGGCAAGGGACTTTATTCCCATATCCTAAAATGATAAAGAAACTGAGAGGAATGCAACCTGAAATGACTGTGAACGTATGTATGGGAAAAAAGTCTGACTTATTAAAGAAGGCATAAGCAATAATAGGTAGGAAACTATGACACATTACATGAGAGAAGAAAAAACCTAAATATTCATTTAGGAATTAATTTCTAGAAGAAATCATGTTTTACTAAAGTGAGTACATCCTTCTGTCTATGTATCTTCCCCTCATTTTAAAAATAAAGTAAAACAGGGGAGACAATAAGAATCCTCAAACCAGTTACTGGTGTTTATATTGCTAAAAAGAAAGAACAAATCATGGAGCCAATAAAAACCTAGCAATCTTTCCTTCTCCCACTATAAACCTATTTCATCCCATGTGTCTCATTTCTCCCCAAACCCTCACCTGCTGAGTGGAGTGGACAGAAGACCACATCAGGAATAAGTCAGGGTACTATTTTATCTTTCTGTGATTAAACTATTTTGGACTATGTTCAACAAAACATGCAAAGCAATGTGGTAAAACACCTCTTAGAAACCACAGCATGAATGGACTATTTCAAGACTGGATCATAAGTTACTCAACAGCTGGGGTTGCTTTACCAAAATTCTGGTGCACCTTTCAAGTCGTGAGAGAAATAGCATTGTTTCTGAAACTAAACTTTCATGCCCCACACATAAGGCAACTGTGTATTGATCAATTTATTGCAGAGATTCATGGCTACCACTGTCATAATTTCAACTTCTGGAGCCCATAATGGCATTCAGTTCTCATTTAGTGAGCTCATTTGAAACTTAACTTCAGTGGAAGTTAAGATATTAGAAAGTGTAAGGGAGAGAAGGAATAAGATCTGGTCTTGATTTGCTTCTGTGTTTGCTGAGAATGGTTACTCATCCCCAAGGGTGATGTGCGAGGGATGAGCCTGCAAAGGAAACAGGTGACAGCCAAAAAGGTTTTGCCTGCAACATGTGGGTTATCGCGAGGGCACAAAAAAGACAGGGCACCAGGCAGACACTGATTTAATGTTGGTGTTCTTGTAAGGTGCTGAAGGATCCTGCATGTACTGGTGAGTGCCAAAGGGTCAGGAAATTCCATGAAGTGCACCCTGGGATTTCCAGCTGGCTTCCCTCCCCCTCCTCCCCTGACTGCTGCAGACAGTGATGGGGAGGAGATAAGGATTCAGTTTAAGAGCTCTTCCGGAGAAGCATCTGCACATGCAGTAATATAGGAGATACTGAAAATAAGATAAGAACATTAAGAATTATCTTTTTTCCATACTACTTTTAGTTTTATATGAATGCAATTGCTTTCAGTATTATGACTAAATGCAGTTGTTGAATTTTTCTGCTGATGGGTGCCAAATTTGATATTCTGAGTCAAATTAGATTATTGAAATATGTATATTTTTTGTTTACAGCTGTTTGGGTTTTCCATTGAAGAAGGCCAAGTGACAGACTGTTCCTGCAGCCTCTTGTGGGGCTGCAATGGTGCAAGCTACAGCAATAGCAAACAAATGTTCATAACCTTCCAGCAAGCAGTTCATTTCAAGAAATTGGGATCCAGTTCCAATATTCACTGACTTACGTTGAAAAAACTAAAATCACCACATTTTACTCATTGATGATATTAAATGCTGTTGTTTTTTTCAGCAGCTTGCCAAGTGCAGGGTGTGTTGAAATAGGCTAAGTGCTTTCCACACATACTGTCTGTGCTCAACACCAAATATTTGTGACATCTAGAAAAAAATATATTTAGAAAAAGAAAAATAACATGTCAGTGTAAAATAATGCTAGATTCAGTAGTCAGTGATCTCAGATGTACTCAGATGGCTGCAGATTCTCATCTTTGGAAAGCATTTTAATCTTTGTCTCAGGTATTTGTTTTGAATATGCAGGTACCACACTGATTTCTTTTGCCAGATTATTGCATTTACTTCTACATTTTTTTTAGGTAAGAAAGAATCTTCACAAGAATAAACTGTCCAAAAATTAAAGTATACTAGCAATTCCATTCTTCTGAAACTACTGAGCAGGGGATTCCAGGAATATAGGTTTTTATTTTTTGAACTAGAGTTGATCTCCGTCGGTATTTTCTTATTGAGAATTTTTATTTGCTTTCTCATATCATGACATTTTTTTTCCCACGTGGACTTTGATGGAGAATCATCTCTTTTCACCTCTAACATGCCTAAATTCAATCACAGAAATATCTGCAAAGCTGGTACTTGGACTTGAGCCCTGTGAACCTGTGATACACCAAACAGTTTATTCTAATTTTCATAGTAGATTAAATCTCTCATGAATCAACTGAACTTTCTGTTCCTGAAAACTCCCACATTCCACCATTGTTGTTGGCACTGTCCTAAAGATGTTACAGACTGCAATCACTATTTGAATATATTTTAATGCTCAGGTTTATATTTTGCACAAAATAGGATGACATCAAAGATATTTTGAATAACATTCCCTTGATCTTGAAATCAAGTATTGAGTTAATTTAAATAAAGATTAAGATCAACAAGTATTTTAGGTCAGTTACAGGGCAGTGCAGGAATCAGAATATGAGAGCAATGGACTGTGAAGGGGAATCTCCTTATGCTGATATTGCTATCAGGAGCAAGGTACACCTCAGTCACAGTGGTGGACTTGGACCCCTTATTGAGTCAAGGAAATACAAACATACTTTTGGGCAAATAGCACAATGCACTGCCCAAGTAGCTACAGATGGCAAATGTCCTTACTTCTCCAGAATGTTGAACACTAATGGGCTTTGCTAGAGTATAAACCTTGGGAAGGGATTTTGAATTATACTAAAACTTTGGAGGACCCTGAGAAGAGCTATAGATTTGCTGTTACAGTTTATCTAGAAAAGGTTTGCTCTGAAGATTTGTATCTGCACTGAGCAGCAAGCAGGAAGCAGAGATCCCTGATCTCACAGCCCAAGGAGTCACCTACAGCATGTAATCTGAAAAGGGAGATAAACAAGATCTTTAAATTCTGTTCTTGCTCTAGGAAGATCATATTGCTTATTTTCTTCACTTCTTCACCCAATTCTTTTAGCATCATCTATTTTGAATGTACCCCCCAGAACAGGCATATTTCCACATTTACTTTGCCTATATTTTATGAAGGGTGATTTCAATCTAACAGCAA